ATCTACTGATTCTCCAACTCAGTATAGCGAGCTACAAGTTCGCAAGATTTCTGTAAAAAGAAAAATTAGTCGACAGACGTCCAAGACAAATTGCTTCCGAGCAACCAAGAGACAATGATGACGTTTCTAAGACTACAGCCGAATCAAGAACATTCGACAGTAGTCTCGGGGACCTCACCCAGTGGGTGCACTCAACGTGCCCCCACTGTAAAAAAAGAAGAAGAAGTCGACTGCCCGTAGTCGACCGGATACAGTCCCATTCGACATGGCCTGACTAGACCGAATGAAGAAATACAGCTACAGCCACACAATATAAAGACTACAGTCGACTGCCCGCAGTCCACCGTAGTCTCGGGGACTACACCCAATGGGTGCACTTAGCGTGCCCCCACTCGTCCAAGAATTGGCAGACACACCCAGTGGGTGTACAGATACAAAGATTTTCGGAAAAGAGATTCTTCAAACAGCATATCATAACAGACCAAACGTTGAGTCGACTGACCTGGACGTTGCTTTGAAGAGCCGAGCTCGCGTCATAAGCTGCTTGGCTGGCCTCCCGAGCCAACTTCACTTGCTCCATTATGATCCCCGCCTGACGTATAGCCTCTTTTGCAGCAGCCGCTTGATCCTCAGGGACGGGGTATGCGGCAAAAAGCAAAGACGGATCCGCAGTCGACGATGAGGGCCGCGCACTCGCCAGAGGAACGGCGAAGGTCACAGAAGCCCGAGTGGTGTCACCATCATCCCGAGCCACGGCCTCGGACGCCGGAGCGGATTGGGGGGTCTTGTCAGCCAACGCCCTCTTGTGCCTCCTCACTCTCAACGGACCGTTGTCGTCGTCATCTCGGAGGTCGATAACATGAGGAGGGGCTACAAAGCGGAACGTCAGTAATCGTACCAGGGTTGGAGGTAACAGCATCCTCCATCTCTTGGTCGTCGTCCTTGGCGGAGATCTCAGAAGTAGCAGCACTGCAAGCCTCGAAAGTCAGTCGGTTGGCTCAATGGATCGACCAAGGATCCGTCCACGGTCGACAAAGGAAAACAAGTTTTATTATTACCCAGAAATGGTGGGGACGGCCATCTTCATCTTGGGCAGAGCCTTGGGCGGCTTGGACGGCGCTGCGCGCGGGTGCTTGGGAGCCTTTCCAGTCGGCATAGGAGAAGAGGTCCGAGGGCGTTCCGACGACTGCCCAACAGGAGCAGTCGCGCTACCACGCTCCCGCGCTGGATCATGTGTGAGCTTGGATCGCCCCTCCGGGCGGGGGGGTTCAACCTCCTCCTCATCCTCTTCGCTGGAGTCGACGTCGTCGCCTCCCTCTCCTTCACCGTCGGACTCCTACTCGCCTTGATCGTCCCCGCTCTCACCTCCGCTCGCCTCCCCTTCCTCAGTTGGCCCCTGTGCCCCATTGGGCGTCAAGTACATCTCAGTAGTCGCCTGAAAAACAACAGACAAGACAAAGGTCAATCGACCAACTCAAAGAAGACCAATGAAGAAAAACAAGATCTCAGTCAGGAGCATAGAGACATACCTGGTCCACGTCGTACGAGTTGTCGAGTGGAATTACCCTCCTGGCTCCTCGGGGGTTGTCCTTGTTTCCTGTGATGCTCGACAGCCACCCCTCCAGCATCTCATCAGTGACCTCCTCCGGGTGGATCCGAGTGGTGTCGTCAAGACCCGAGTACAGCCACATCGGGTGGTCACGAGCCTGGAGCGGTTGGATGCGCCTCCGGAGGAAGACCTCCAGCAAATCTATGCCCGTCACGCCCTCACAGACAAGCTCAACCACTCGACCGGCCAGCACTTTGACTTGGGCCCTTTCCTCCGGCGCCACTTTCAGAGAAGCAGGTTTTTCAGCTCGGTCGAGTGAGAAAGGGGGGAGACCAGTCGACTGTCCTGGGGTCGCCTGGTCTTGACAGTAGAACCAGGTCGCCTGCAAGCCATGGACCGACTCCAGGAAAGTGATAGATGGAAAACAACTCTTTCCCCTCGTCTCGATCGCCAGGCCCCCGCACAGCTGGATCACCTGCGTCCTTTCATCACTCGACTTGGCCTTCTTGACCGATTGAGAACGACAGGTAAAGATGTGCTTGAAGAGACCCCAATGGGGGCGGCAACCCAAGAAACCCTCACACATGGAAATGAAAGCAGCAAGGTATACGATGGAGTTGGGAGTGAAGTGGTGAAGCTGCGCTCCGAAGAAGTTCAGGAAGCTTCGGAAAAAGGGTGGGGCGGCAGAGAAAACCCGCGGTCGACATGGGTGGCTAGGAGCACGCACTCACCATCGCGGGGCTGAGGTTCGATCTCTCTCCCCGGGAGACACGCGGCTTCGTGGGGAATGACCCCCCCCCCCTCGACCATGTCGTCGAGATCTTCTTGCCGGATCACCGACGGCATCCAGTCGCCTTGGATCCAGCCTCGGGGCAGAGCAGACCTTGAGGAGGATCCGCCCCGCGTGGACCTCTTCCCTTTCCCCTGCGTCGCCGCCTTCTTCGCGCGCTCCAGGGCGGATGTCTTGTCCTTCGCCATCGTCGCCGGCAAATCTTGCACGGACCCGCGGCGCTAGGGTGAGAACGGAGGTGGCAGAAGAACTCGCGAAGGGATAGAGGAAGAAGGAAGTGCACTGTTTGGAAACCCCGAGCCGGCAACTTATAAGGGGTCGCTCCCGAGTGGCTGACTGGTAGGCCCAGGCTATCCAGTCAAATCCCGCAACAGACGCGCGCGCAGTACGTGGCGAAAAAGGCGACGCGAGGATCGAGGAGCTTCCACTTTATCGCTTCCGATTACTGCGGCCGCTCCCGTCCCGCGCGCTTCCCGAAAACCGAATCCCGCGACACCCGCGGGCCGCAGAACAACTTGCTAAAACAGAAGACCCCGCTCGCGCCGACACTCGGTATGTCACAATAAAGAAATTCACTCGACGAAAGGCCTGGAATGGAGCAAGGCGACTGAAAGAGGTTGATGACGTCATCCGTGACGGTTGGCCCAAGACGAGGCGCTCACGTAGCCCAAAGAACCGGTCGGAAAGATCTCCAACTCTTTCCCCACTCTAACCTCGATCCATTCGGGGGCTAATGATGAAGCCATGTACCTAGGGTAGGGGCACGGGCCTGTCCAAAGAGCCCTACCTTGGGACATCCCTAGGAGAAGTCACCTTTCAATCGACTTGAAGGTATCCCACTCGACGGGTTCAAGACACTCGACCATGAAGACAACCACTCGACTGCCAGGAGACCTAGAGTCACTCCGCAGGCAAACGGTCAGCTATTAAGTAGTCTTTATGGTCATTATCCCACTTTATTAAGGGCGTTACCGGTAACGCCCAACCTTAAATGTACCTTAAACCCTGCATTACTGAGGGCAGGAGGGGGTCGGCGAACTATATATAAGCCACCCCCCTCCTCAGTATGAAGGGTTCGCGCCCCTGTTATTTACACGCCAGTAATCCAGTCGACCGCCTCCGGGCACCGAGACGTAGGGCTGTTACTTCCTCCGCGAAGGGTCTGAACTCGTACATCTTGGTGTGTTTACAACTTCCCAATAGCTGAGATCTAGCCTCTCCATACATACCCCCCTACATCACTGTCAGAGTTAGAACCACGACAGGTACAACACTCTCTCCAGGTATCACCTTACAGTCTAGGCACACACGCCTATCTTCTCTTCTCGAGAGGATGAAATCAATCTGGCTAGAGTGTTGGCCACTACTAAAAGTCACCAGATGTGATTCTCTCTTTCTAAAGAGGGTGTTAGCTACAATCATGTTGTAGGCTAGAGCAAAGCTTAAGACATTTTCTCGTTCTTGATTCCTGATGCCATAGCTAAAGCCCCCATGCGCCCCTTCAAAACCTGTGTTAGATGTACCCACGTGGCCATTGAGGTCTCCTCCTATGAAGAGCTTCTCACCAATCGGTACACTCCTAACCATGTCTTCCAGGCCTTCCCAGAACTCCCTCTTGGTGTTCTCATTGTGGCCTACTTGCGGGGCATACGCGCTGATAACATTGAGAACCAAGTCCTCAACTACCAGCTTGACCAGGATAATCTGGTCCCCACATCTCTTGACGTCTACCACTCCATATTTGAAGCTCTTGTTGATCAAGATGACTACACCATTTCTGTTTGCAGCCGTCCCCGTGTACCACAGCTTGAAGCCGGTATCCTCCACCTCCTTCGCCTTCTGTCCTCTCCATTTGGTTTCTTGGACGCAAAGGATATCAACACCTATCCTCACCGCTGCATCAGCTAGCTCCCAAAGCTTCCCTATTAGAGACCCTACGTTCCAGTTACCTAAGCGAATCCTCCTAGGCACGGCTAGCTTCCTTACCCTTAGCACTCGTCGAGTCAAATGCGAAGACCCTTGCTCATTTTCCACTACATCCGGGCGCCGATGTAGCGCGCCACTAAGGATGCGACGACCCGATCCTCACTCACTTGCCACCGTATCTGGATCAAGATACGGCGCGCCACTTGGGAACAAAAGAAAAAAACAAAATAGTTCTCCAAAATGCTTTTCAAAGTAGTCTTTTTGAAACATCAATTTTGTTTTTTCTGCTAGAGTATTCAGGAATATTTTTTCTTCACGAAAAGTTACATGTATGTAAAATATTCATCAATGTATGTTTCCAGAAAAAATCATAATTTTGTATTTCCTATATTTGTTATTGTACTGTCATCAGAGAGCACGCGAGCTCATGAGCAGATACTCGGCGTCCAGAAAATATGTGCTTAGAAGTCAAATTTCTAGTCTTTACGCAACTTCCATCCCATTTATTGACATTTTTTATGCTCTATATTTCTGAAATTAGCTATTTCGTCTCAGTTTCCGTGGCTCGCATTTCAGCGATGCATTTCACACACACCTGGCTACTTATCTTCTGGTCTCCCTCCTTGGCTCTTGCGCTTATAAAAGGGGGCGTGATGGCCTCTTACTTTACTATAACTTTGTGCGGTCCCACAACCACAGAAACCATCGTGATCATCTTGGATCAAACGAAACGAAATGGCGCCGGTGAAGGTGTTCGGGCAGGCCATGTCGCCGAACGTGGCTCGGGTGCTGGTGTTCCTGGAGGAGGCCGGCGCCGACTACGAGCTCGTCGACATCGATTTCCAGGCCAAGGAGCACAAGAGCCCCGACCACCTTGCCAGAAACGTACATAACATAACCCCGGATCGACTGCTTACCTTTTTTTTGCCATCTTCTCGTTGTATTTTCTGTTCGTGATGATTTGACACCGAGGGCATGTACAATGGTTGATAAGGTAGTCTTATCTTAAGTCTTGCATATAATTTAGAGATGACAAAACATTTTATCTATAATGGGTCATCTCTTAGACTTATCTTCAGTAACTAGTCATTCCTAAAAACGGGGTGATACATATTGTGCTAAGAGATCATCTCTTGTCTTCTCTTAAATAAGAGAGAACAAGCATTTTCTTATGAGTTCTCTCTCCTCCAACTCATCACTTATACTACGTGGCACTGCTAAGATAGCATCATTGTACATGCCATGTTTTCTTGCAGCCGTTCGGGCAAATCCCCGCGTTCCAGGACGGTCATGTCGTTCTCTTCGGTACGTAACCCCCTCCCAAGAGCCATGATCACAATCCTCATTTCTTGGTCAAGTTGGATGAAGTTTTACGTTTTAAATTACTCGTGCATTGCATGCAGAGTCAAGAGCAATCGCCAAGTACGTGGCGCGCAAGTACAAGACGGACGAGGCCGACCTGCTGAGGGAAGGCGACCTTTCAGAAGCCGCCATGGTGGACGTGTGGACGGAGGTGGAGGCGCACACGTACAGCGCCGCCCTCTCGCCCATCGTCTACGAGCGCCTCATCTTCCCTCTCATGCACGGCAAGCCCACCGACGACAAGGTTGTCAACGAGAGCCTCGAGAAGCTGAGGAAGGTGCTCGAGGTCTACGAGGCACGGCTATCCAAGCACAGGTACTTGGCCGGGGATTTCCTCAGCTTCGCTGACCTCAACCATTTCCCCTACACCTTCTACTTCATGGCGACGCCCCATGGGGCCCTGTTTGAGTCGTACCCGCGCGTGAAGGCGTGGTGGGAGAGCATCATGTCCAGGCCGGCGATTCAGAAGCTCAGCGCAACCATGACACCATGAATTCACACACGACGCAACTGCCCGCTTATATATAGCTACTATGGCAGCTTAATTAGTAATTAGTATTCAATTTTATTGTGTGCATGACTGCTATTATGTAATTTGTATTGTCTACCAGAATTGTACAAGTCTGCAGTGTGGTTGTATCTATCTGTATGTTCCACACTTTCTTTTCCATTGGTTGCTTGTCAAAGTCCAAATCACTAGTTTGCACGTCTCCTTTTAGAATACCTAAACACCACCTGCATGCTCAACAGGGTGACGCGACGATGGCAGATCTAGCGGCTCCGAGTTGACTAGTTTGCACCGGCGTGACGAAATCTACATTTACAAAGTCAAAAGGGCCGCTGCTCTGCTGGCCATTTTCAGTGCCTTCTCAATTCTCATTCACCGGGCTGCTTTTTTACACTTTAGCTACTTTTCAGTCAGCTGATTTTTCACTTTGTGGTCAATCAATTTTTTGTTCGTTGGATGTGCTTTGAGATGTGTGTTGTTTTCATTTTCTGTTGTTTAATTCTGTTGTTGGGTTGAGCTGTGTGAAATCGATTGACCCCTATTTTGGGTCAGTCGAATTGCTTTTTGAAATCGTTTTTGTTCTTCTGGGTTGTGTTTTTCTTTTTCCTTTTTTTACCTTTTTGTTATTGGTTATTTTTTTGGTTTTGTTGGTTTTTGGCTGCGTGTAATTATATACATACAAATATTATATAATATGTGACCAAATTTCGTAATTATATTATTAGTTTTGCATATTACGATAAAGTTCAACTTCGGTGCAAAGTTGTGCCCAAGTTTTTTTAAAATTTTCTCTCTTCTTAAAGGAAATACCAATGCCACTAATTCATTCCATTTTAGAAAAAAAATATTATTTTGATATTGTTTGTCTTTATTTCATTTCATTCTACTTTAAGGTTAATACCAATGCCACTATTCATTTGTGCTGAGATTTTGTTTTTGCAAAAGTTCCACTTTTATATGCTTATTATTGCATATTTTTAAAAGCGCATTTTTTATGTATATTTCGTGCAAATTTTGTGAGAGTTTGTTATAGATTCTTTTTCCCATTTTCTTTGTTCTTAAATGGTAATACCAATGCCTCATATTTATTATTTCTTTTGTGGGTATTTTTGCTTTATTCTTTATTCTAGTTTTTGTTTTTTTGTTGATTTTTACTTTTTCTTTATGCGTTTTTGTATGTTGAGTGTGTGTAAATATATGCACACACGTACTTCATGTATACATTATATTAGTGTCTGGAAATTTCACCACTATACTTTTCTTCCTACGTATTATAAAAAGTACAATTTTTGTACTAATCTTGACAAAATTTAAGTTTTAAGTTTTTATTTCACTTCTCTCTTATTTAAGGGTAATACAGATGACACTAATTCATTTCTTCTTTGAAACTTATTTTTTATGTAAATTCTACTAGTATATGTTAGTTCTTGCATGGCTATAAAAAGTGTAATTTATGTGTAAATTATGTGCAAATTTGATAATGATTTATTTTTTCATTCCTTTCTTCTTAAAGGGTGGTACCAATGCCACTACTTCATTTTTGTTAGAAAATGTTATATTTTTGTGTGTTTAAATAAGTATACACACAAGTATTATACAACATGTGTGTAAATTGTAGTAGAGTGCGAAATTGCAATATTATATGTTCTTTGCTTGCATATTACTAAAAGTGCAATTTCAGGGCAAACTTGTGTGCAAATTTTTCGTCTTTTTCTTTTTTTCTTAAAGGGTTTCATTCTTCCATAGAAAACTTCATTATTTTGATTTTGTTTTTGTTTTTATTTTTGTTTTTATTTTATTTTCTTTCTTTATAGGCAATAGCATCATTCCACTATTTATGTTTTTTTTGTTGCGATAACACATCGTAAAAATGATATATGTATTGTATGCACTAACAATTGTGTTGCGTATAGCACATCGTGTTGTCGTTCGGATAATGGTTGTGACGGGCGTGTTGCTTGTGATTAATTACATGCTAATAACCAGTGCTTAATTAAATTAGCCGGTTGGCTGTGCATGCATCCCACCCAGGGGATCGATATTTGGGCAGCAAATCGACTGAAATAAAATTGGTGGTCAGTTGATTGACACAAATTTTGTTTCAGTTGACTGATCTATAGCCTGTCCCGCTTTTTTAATATTTTTTGTGAGAAACACTTGTAATTTTATTCATCCTCATAACAACTATAGGTACACCGGGCTGCTGTGAACCACAACGGTGGGCCTTGGGTGCAGATATTTTGTTCCTTTATTTTAGCTTGACCGCTCTGGCCCATCCAACAATTTTTCACTTTGGTTGTTAATAGCAAGTGTATGGATAAATTTATACAAATTTAACTTTCATGTGTTCCGTGCCTCTATATATGTCTAAGAACATGTTCCCGCAAAAAATAAGAACATTATGCTAAAAAGATATATGTAAGAAATTCATTTCATTATATATCATTTAAAAATAGACGAACGCGGTAACACATGCCATCATGGTCTAGTGGGTGTCATGGAACGCCTAGCAGTGCGTTGATCCATGTGTGGTGTGCAAAGGGGCTTCCTCAGCAATTCGCGACCGTGGTGCAAAATACAGAATGGGGCCTTATTTTTTTAAAATCTTGAACATAACTAAAGCATATTCCCACATAACTATGTAAATGTAAATATTTTTTGTTTTGTAATATCAATGCTAAAAGATTAAAGGTATTACCAAAGCAATAAACTGATCATATGTTTTATGAAAAGCATCATCCATCCAATATTCTTTGAAATGAAATCTTCAATTATGTCTTATTTATTAATATTCTTGAAGACATCATTTTCAAGTATCTTAAAAATCTTGGAGCGTGACCTTGAGGAAGCAGCCAACTATCTTCTTCAAACAATTAGACTAACAATCGAGGAAAGTATGTAAGTACTGAAGCAAGATTAATCTCAGTATACTATTTAAGGTGTATTGATGTGAAAATGCAATTATTCAATATTGTATATTCACTAACATATTATTCAGCAGAAAGATTAATCTCAATTAATTAGTAACTTTGTACCAAAAGAAATTACCTAGATAAATAGGGCTTCCTCTGTGTACAAAGGGCCATGACTGTGGGAAATGTTGGGAGGAAGGCAAGGCACGGTTGGCGTTCATACAATATATGTGTAGTACATGCATCAATCCTTACCGATTATTAATCAATTCAATTATTGGTAGATGAATTTGAGGAGTAGACTAGCCTATCGATCGATCGGCTGTCGTACGTGACCAAAAGCGAAAGAAGATCAAAATAGGTTGAGCTGATGAATACTACTCGGCGGGAGTAGTAGTCGCCGAGTAGTAGTCGGCTCACTGTAGGTGCGTAGTGCATCAATCCATGGAGGATGCAAGTAATCATGCATTCATGCAAGTTGAGCTGTGCTTGAATCAACATCACTCAGGAGGCTGCTCTGCTTTGAGGTGTTGTGATGTTGCTACTCCCATGCATGTATGCCGTATTATTCCACCATCACACTCACAATCACATATACCCCATGCTTGATCATTCCAATATACATACCCTTTAGCGCTATGGTGCATATTTGTTGGAATTGTGTCGAATATTGTGTACAAGATAGATTACAGTTGGACTCTGGGTACTATTGTGTTAGATAGGATATGGAGTCGTGTCCTAGTAGGACACTTGTATCTAAGCCTCTCATATATAGCGAGGATAGACACACGATGTAACATATGCCAACACAATAGCACAGGAATGCAGGGGAAGCCGGCGACATCTGGCGGCGTTCAGGGTGACCGGGTGCGGTATTGTAACGGTGTCATGGGGAAGAGCGCCCATAGTCAGACCCCGGGGATGTAGCCATATCGGTGAACCTCGTTAACAAATCTCGGTGTCGTGCTTGTATGATTACTTGGTCCTCGGATGATCGACGGAGCACCTCGGATTTATTCTAACAATATTGATTAATATCAAAAAACGTCTTATATTATGAGACGAAGGGAGTACATATCTTCTGCGAGTAAGTCAGCCGGACATAAAGTGTGTACACATACATTGTCTAGTAGTCCATTATATTAAGGGTTAACTGGGTAAATGCCACTCGAATTCTAGCGATTCCGAAAAATGCCATTGCTATTTTCAAACATTGAAAATGTCACTGCAAATTTTGCAAACATTGAAAAACGCCACTGCAGACTTTGAAAAATGTCATTGGAAATAACATTTTTCAAAGTTTGAAAATTGTAGTGACATTTCTTGGAATCGCCAGAATTAAAGTGGCATGTATCAAATTGACCCTTATATTAATGTGGGTTTGGGGCTAGCTAGTTATCTAAGACCCCATTTTCGTTAAGTAATGAAACCCCTTATGTCGATGATTGTTCGGCTAATACTTACACGTTGTTAGAGGTGGACATACATGTCCATGTCCACATCAACCGAGATGCCACGAAACAGTAATAAGATTGTGTACATGTTACGCCCATGACTATTCGGCTAATTTACACTGGCAGCTCGCTTGGTCAAGATTGGCTAGCCGCCGGCTGCGCACTCCATCGTTCGCCGACTTATACTGTTCGATATAAATATCAATGATAAAAGATTAAAGGTATTACCAAAGCAATAAACTGACCACATGTATTATGAAACGCATCATCCATCCAATATTCCTTGAAATGAAATCTTCAATTATTTCTTATTTATTAATATTCTTGAAGACATCATTTTCAAGTATCTTAAAAATCTTGGAGCGTGACCTTGAGGAAGCAGCCAACTATCTTCTTCAAACAATTAGACTGACAATCGAGCAAAGTATGTAAGTACTGAAACAGGATTAATCTCAGTATACTATTTAAGGTGTATTGATGTGAAAATACAATTATTCAATATTGTATATTCACTAACATATTATTCAGCAGAAATATTAATCTAAATTAATTAGTAACTTTGGACCAAAAGAAATGACCTAATTAAATAGGGCTTCCTCTGTGCACAAAGGGCCGTGAC